ACAGGTGTAATCAAAGCCCGTCGTTCCGCCGATCGTGTAGAGGAAGTGCTTGTGGATCACTATGCCCGGTCCATACTGAGCAGTGGGCAGATCGCCCCTTACCTTCAGGCGCTGCACGCCCGTGGTAGCGCCTGCGCTGGGCGTGCAGTAAACGTAGCAATCGTTGGAGCAGGATTCTCCAAAGGGAAAGCCAGTGCCTCCATGAGACTGAAAAGTGAGAAGAAAAATGGATAAATGAAAATGATCTAAAAGGTTTGGTTTAAGAAGGAGTTCTCTAACATTATTGAAGCTTATGACTTAACTAGTAAATATTATAGATACAACAAAAATTGATTCCCATTCTTTGTGTTACTTGGGTAAAATATGCATTCCTAGCAAAAATGTGGAAGCGTCAGCTTTACGGGTTTGAACTTAAAATAATTACTAGAGTTATATATATTAAAATATAGATTGATAAAACAATGAAATCGGTGTATTTAGTTGTTGAATATTTAAAAAAAATTGTCTATAACAAACTCCCTTTTCATTATACTACTGTATTTTCCTGACTTTGTAGATCTGGCATACAGATATATAGAGTTAATAATAAAGACTAATGAAAACTATGCTACTACTAGATGCTACTTAGAAAAAAAAATCTTTTGTTGAATACTTCAATATTTACTGTAACAAACTTCCTTTTTTTAATCAGACCACCGGGTTTTCTTGACTTTGTAGATCATTTCTGGTATACAGATATATGAGTTAATAAATATTATGTTACTACAAGCAAAAAAAGAAGTGAATGAATAAGGGCCTAGAAAAATTAAATCTTTTTATTCATTTGTCGAATATTTAAATACTTTCTCTATAACAAACCCCCTTTTTTTATCATACTATTGTATTTTCCTAACTTTGTAGATCATTTCTGGTATACAGATATATGGAGTTAAGCGGGTGGCATCCACGCCCCTGGCATTGCTGCCAATGCATTCAATTAGCAGATACTTGAGCGGCAGAGGCTTATCATCGCCTGGTGGCTGCGGAGGAGTGGGAGGCGGTGAAAGCATGCAAAGATGAGGAAAATGAGGGAAAATGAGGAGGAACGGCCGTAGGGAAGCTGAGCTGAAGCCCAGATAAGCGGAAACATGTGTCTCCAGTCTGTTTTTGTGTATGTATCGGGGCATGATTCGTCATCAAATTATAGCTAATTGTGGAATGCAAGGGAAGGGCATTGCTGCCAGCATAAAATGCCAACAGCTCCCGTTTGGCTTTGCTTTCGGTTTTTCTTTTCGGTTAGTTTCCTCCTCCAAAAAAAAGCGCGCGCTCTCAGCTGCTGGGTGGGTATGAAAATGGTAAATACAATGTTTTGAGTTTTTCCAGCAGCGCGCGAGGTGGGGAAAGCTGGAAAACAAGTTGTTGCATGCGGCAGCAGCATAAACATCAACTGCGTAGTAACCTATGTGGAAAAGAGGGTTGCCTGGCATGCGCAGAGGCTCAGGAGGTGGGGCAAAAGGGGCGGAAGAGGAGGAGGAGGTGCCCCCCGAGTGAGAGGCAAACGGCAATGGCCATGGGCAGCTGTTTGGGTTGACATTTCGGGTGTTTAGAATGCATAAACAAAAGCCCAAGGCGGAGGAGTGGAGGCGCGGAGCAGGGCGTGGCATTGGCCCTGGCCATTTTCACTGCCCAGAATAACCCTCTCTCTATTTTCACTCTCTTTCTCTCGAGATCTAAGCGATCAGCTGTGTGATTTCCCTGCTCATTGCACCATTCAATTGTGTTTTCTACTTCGGCACAAACAAGTTTTTTTTATTGCAATTGATGATTTCGCTAGCCTACACAGTAAGAAAAGAGATCAGAAAAGAATAAGATCAGTAATGCACTTCAATATTTAGTATGTAAATGCCTGGAATACCCTTTGTTTTACAAGCTCTGAAGTATTTTTCTTGAAAGGTTGCCTATTAGCCAATAATTCTTAATTCTTATTAAGCAATTCCATTGTCCACTTGAAAAACTAACAAGCTACCAAATTCTTGAACTAAACATGATCTTGTTGATCAAAACATATCACTTTTTGAGGTCTACATTTTTTATAAAATTCACAAGTGCTGAATGTAACAAAATGGGACATTGGTTTACTTGGAATACGTTCTTATCAGCTCAGAGTTTTGTTCGTGGAAACCGCAACACGCTGGATTTCTTTCATAGTTTAAAGTTTATCTTCATATCACCACCGTTTTATACGAGCAACATTAAGCGATCTAAATTTTTCTCTGTTTAGTTAACCAACACACCCAACGAGCGAGAGAGAATCCAACTCATCTATTTTTGTCTGCTTAACAGCACTCTGCCCGCCCCTTCCTACAGCGATTTATATAGCATCAAATAGATACTCACAATCAACACGTTATTGTGAATGGTCAACGCATTGGAGGCCAGCTCCACGGGCATATTGCTGGCATTGTCTGCATTCAGCTCCAACTTCCAGGTCCTGGTGGCAAAGTTGTAGCTCCACAGCTCCTGGAAGAGCAGGCAGCGACCGTGACGCGAGGCGGCCAGGGCGCTGCGCGGATTGTAGCCACCCAGGGAGTACAGGTGCGAGTTGGAGGCGATGATGCGGTGGCCACTGCGCGCCAGCGGGAACTCCCCGGCTATATGCTTGTCCTTGTACGGGCACTTGACCAAACGCAGCGGCTGGAAGGAGTACAATGCTGGTTTGCCAGTGCCCTCCGGCGACAGAGAGACATTCAGCACGGTCCTGTTCTCGTCCAGTTCGTCGCTGGAACTGGTCGACTCGTCGGAGAACATCTCCTCGAACTCTGACTCCGAATCGGTATCGCCATAGTCCACATCCACGTCGTCGACGTCGTCCTCTTCCTCCTCCTCGTCCAAATCGCTGGCCGCGTCCATGGGCTCCCCGGCCCCCTGGTTGTCTTGGAACAGGGCGATAAGGTCCGGTTGACCTAGCAGCGGAATAGCCAACTCCCCGTGAGCCAGCTGCTCCACTACTCCCTCCTCCGGCTGAGCCACTTCCTCCTCCGGCATGTCCTGATCCATGATCAGATCGTTGTTATTATTATTGTTGTTATTATTCTGGTTGGCCAGCTGCTCCTGGTGGTCCGTGGGCTGGGCCGTGCCGTAGATCTTGGCCAGCAAATCGCAAAGAAACAAAAGGAACGTCCAAGTGTGACGCAGTTGGTTAAACACGATGCACTTGAGTTTGGCTGGTTTTAGTATGTTCATAACACGCTTGCTCTATCTGGAGAGTGATGATAACGTAACAATCAGTTTTGGCTTTGATTTGATCCTGTTTGTCGGAGAGCAGATAGTTTTTGTGTCAAATATTGTTTTTTTATTTTCAGGCTGGGGAGGGGGTGAAACGACCTCGCACAGCTGGCTGACTACGCTGTTGTTGTTGTTGTGGTTGTTGATTTGGTTGCTGCTGCTGCTGCTTCTATTGTTGTTGTTTTTGTGTTTGCCACTGCTGTCATTTTGACACACGCTCCCTCTCGCTTGCACCCACGCATACACGCACGCACATGTGTTACGTTACGTGGTCCGTGAAAACGTTTGCTCGCTCGCTACTGCCCTTTGTTTGTTTTCGGCCCCCTTGGCTAATGCAATTTCACTAGTTTGCTCGCTGGCGAATTGGTTAATTACTGCACTCGATGGCATCCGCGCATTTTTCCGTGTTCGACAAACTGCGCTTTAAATTTAGAATGTTGTTGTTCTGGAGGTGGCGAAACTTCGATTGAAACGTCGATGACATCGATGTTTTCAAGGTAACATCGATGTTTGGCACGCCAATCGATATTTTCGCGTCGGCTGCTCTCTCGCTCACGCTTTTCGGAGAGCAAGAGCAGAAATCTTTAATCTCGTTTTTTTTATTGACACTTACGGTTGCTTACGTTGCTCTAGAGGTGGCGTACCTTCGGTGGAAACATCGATGCATCGATGATTCTCCTTTTTTAGACCATTGATATTTGTGACGACCATCGGTAACGGCGCCCTCTGGCGCTTCGATTGCAAATAAGCGAAGGCGCCCTCTGGCCATACATTTTTGAAACAAACAAAAAATATAAGTCAGCCCCTTGCCCCTTCAGTCTGGACCCAAACCATGTTCATGGAAGAGGAAGAACACGTGGCGCCTTGATTCAAAAATATTGCATTTTTAGCTTTGTAAAAGTGTAGGAACAGAGAAGATCGAAAAAATAGGAGAAGAAAAGGGAGAGAAGGTCGCAACAACTTTAGAAAGATAAATGAAAATGTTGGCTCTGCAAAACAGGACCCAATCATAGGCAATTTGAAATAGTTAAGGACACCTAATAAATCGATACGCAATTAAGTTCTTCATCTAGTTCGTCTAGTTCTAGCTCCTTGCCTTTTTTCCATTCCCCAACTTCACTTCAAAATCAGGCATGGAGGAATGAGTCAGTTAAAATCTCTTTAAAAAAAAAATAATTCAGATTAAATTAGAAGACTCGATTTTGGCACTACAGGGATTAAAGTTAGAGCTTAGAAAAACTGATATGGAGATAGACAACATCATTTCAGAGCCACGGTGAGTTGTTGAATTTGATTCCATCTTACTTGAAAAGTTAATTTTATTTAATCACCTAAAAAGTTTTATCACGTTTTATTTTTAACTTAATTTTAATTACTTTTTTAAATTTAATTTTTAAATTACAAAAAAAATTTTTTTTGTTGGATTTAGCTTTAACAGATAACTTGAATAAAATGCAGGACAAATATTTAGTTTTAATTAATTTAACAATAAAAATCTTGTTAGTAAAAGAAATATTCTACTATATACTCTACTGAAATATTTTAATGTTTTTAAGGGTGTCCATATTGGATATAATAATAATATTTATAATAATAATAATATTTATAATATATTATAAAATTATTAGTACAAATGTCAGTGGTGTGACCAAATTCGCCGTCATCCCCCGAAGTATGCCCCGTTATTTTGCTATCCCTACGGCTTCCGCCCTTTTTGCCCCATCAACGAGCGGCCACACCGCGCTGCACCAAAAAAGTATAAGACCGACCGTCGGCACACATTTTCCACACGATTTCGATTCTGTTCTTTCCTTGTGTAACAAACGGTGTCAGCGCGTGAAAATGCAACAGCCCCACGAAACGCATAAACTTTGATATCGCCCCAATACTCAGATGTGGTACAAATTCGGACAGTAGCGTCCAAGGCGGCCGACTCGTTGGTTGGTCAGATTCCTAGGGTTCCCCGGCGGCCTTTCGAGAGTATCCCGCGCAACCCCATTTTTGGGTATGATTACCACGCGCCAGTGCGACATTTGAATTGCAGAGCACCAGGTGCGGAGCACGCGGACTACCAGCTACCAGGATCGGGAAACCAGGACACCAGAAGTCCCCAAGGAACTGCGATTTCGCAGGCCTAACCTAAAAAGGCACGTGCAGCGCGCGTAGAAGAGTTTTCTGCGTGCCACCACAGCCAATCGGCTCCTCTCCATACAAAAAAAAAACAGAGTACAAATTCCCGACGAACACGACGACGACATGGCCACCCTCCTCAGCAACGGCCAGCAGTCGGTGATGGCCACCAGTAATGGTCAGGAGCAGCAGCAGCAGGACGAACCGGAGCAACAGCAGGTAGAGATCAGGAAGTCCAGCTCACCGAAGCCAGGCGCCATGCCCAACTTGAAGCTCAACAGGATGGGTTCGGTGTCCCCCAAAGATAAACGCGTCTACAAAATCGTCCTAACTGGCGGTGAGTTTTGGGGTGCCCCTTTTCAAAAATACCCATATATCTCTGATAGGCTTTTGCTGTGTATCTGTTACAAGTGTCCTCGTATCATCGTATCCTCGTGGCCCATCCACCCGATTGCGATTTGTTTACGATTTGTGTCAAGGTCGCGGATTTCCACGAAGGGGTAGAGATTTTGATTTTGTCCTGCGCGGCAGCTTCCCAGGCCTTCCCCACCTTTACATTCGTATTCATAGATTCATTTTGTATTCATAGAGCTACCGGCTTTCGGTGGTCCGACGGCGCTTCAAAGACCCCGCTCTCATTCATATGTAAAAACAGAGCCATAAAACCTGTTTGTCCAACCATCATATGAGCAGTGGCTGGGCGCGTGGTCTAATCATTTAATTTGGCCCAAGTTATGGCTGTGATTAGAAGCCCCACAAATAGCATTGATGTATTGGCGGGCCTATCTCCCCAACACATACTCGTACTATCGCCTTCGGGGCGGGCTTCCTCTGCCCGGAATTCGTATATTCTCAGGAAGAGGCTGATAAAAGACAGAGGCCCCCGTCACCACGTGTGGCACTCGTCCGTAAATCCCCGCCAAGTCCCATTCAAAGAACTGCTTATCGGTTGGCTGGAGCTCTATCGACAGGCCCGACTCTTTTTAGAGTGCATTCGGAATCGATTTCCCCAGATCGCTGCGCAATGCATTCAGCAATGGACGTAATTGCCTTCAGGGTCAGGCCACAGACCTAATCGAGTGATATGCACACCGCCGAGGAGCTCGGCTGCACTTGATTTTTATTGGAATTTGGGCCACAAGTCAATATGTTTCGTTTCCGCCTTGTCAAACCAATCAATGAACCATTAAGGAAAATCATGCTGAACTAGAAATTCCACATACCTTATCTTAAAATTTTACTCTGACAATATACTAAAAGATTGTTCCCTCTGATTTTTAGGTGCATATTATCTTGAGTCGTCCTGAAACTCGAACTTTAACTAACTTATTTAAAATAGGATCAGATTCGTTTCCGCCTTGTCAAACCAATCAATGAACCATTAAAGAAAATCATGCTGAATAAGAAATTCCACATACCTTATCTAAGAATTTTATTTTGACAATAAACTTAGAGATTATTCCCTAGGACTTTAAAAACTATTTAGGTGCACATTATCTTGAGTCGTTTTAAAACTTGATTTTTAACTAATTCACTAATTAACCAATAAATTGGCTTTTATCATAAAGAGTTTAGTCTTTCAGAATTGATTAACAATTTAAAGCAGTTAGAAAACTTCTTTTGTTTTTGGTGATATGTAAAGGCATTTACAAACTTAATTAGCAGTCTACATTTTTTAATATATGCAAACGATAAGCACGTGTGATTTTGTTTTAACTAATTAAAATAAAAGGACGTGTGGTTATCTGATCTTATTAAATAAGCCACTTTTCCAGTTTAAATGTAAGCACAACTGCATAAAATAAAAAACTTCACAACTTTTTCCGTATCAACTCAGACAGCTTTTATTATCCGAGTTGTAAAAATATTTTGTGGAATTTTCCCACAACTTTCAGCGAACCTTTCTCCCGTTTCCCCGCCAATCCAAACAGTATAGAACATAAGAACGTAACCTTAGCCTGCTTGCCAATAAACAAATAAAATTAACGAATACATTATGCATTTTCAGGGCCCTGTGGCGGCAAGACGACGGGACAGTCCCGGTTGTGCACCTTCTTCGAGAACCTTGGATGGAAGGTGAGTGTCGTGGGTGCTTTTTGGGGGATGGGATGATGGGAATGCCGATCCTAGACTAAGGGAAGTTAGCGATTGCTTTGGGCCGCGGGCAGCTCCGTAAGTAGAGGAGAACGAAGAGCCATGGCGGTAGCGGGATTACCTTTAGATACTCCCTCATTACAATTCTATTGTCCCGAAAACTCGAAACAAAGCAATGAGCATGTTAAATATTTTCAGGTATTCCGCGTGCCTGAAACGGCCACTGTTTTACTCAGGTAAATTCTCTCTCCACACACTCTTACACTCAAAAAAATAAAGTAAATAACGTAAATCAAAATAAAAGCGTGGCATTCAAGGCGAAAGGAGCCGCTCAGGAACTCCGCCACCTGAGATTGGACCAAGTAGCTTTGTCTGCCGCTCGTCCTCTACCTGAGACGATCACCATTCCGATACATACTTAATTCGATTCGAGTTCCATTCTCGATGCTCTTGAACTCTGAGATACTCTATCTAGTAAAAACAAATACATAATTGTGGAAAGATGCTAATCCCCGCTTCTGTTTCTCTCTTTTCTCCCCCGACATCCGAATATCTAGTGGCGGCGTGAAGTTCTCCGATCTAACCGAGAAAGAGGGTAAGTAGAGGCGATGCCACCGAGCGGGAGACCAAAGAATACTTGGTAGTTGACGGAGCAGAGAAGAGGAGTCTAGTCTTACATTGCAAGCATTTTCCGAGACCAAATACTATCTCATTTTCCGAGCACTGTCAAGTTCGACACGGCGTTTTCTCGAACCAACGAAAATAAATCAAAATATTTACTTCGCGGGCGACCAACACAAAGAATCCCTATACTATACGTACAATATATGCTAGAGGTATTTTTAAAATCAGGCAAGTGCGACAGCCGCCATACTATAGATAGTCTACATCTGAGTATATAGCCAGAAGGCCCCCAAGAAAGTCACGTCTTCAATGAAACTTACGTAATGCTTTGGGACACGATTCGAATTCCCATTCGATATCCTGATTGCGTGACTCGAGGTCATTTCGCAGGCAGTCTTCCTTTTAACTTGCCAGGCAATTTGTCAATTATGGTTATTAATGAATTTGCCGATGGGGTTGCCGGGGGGCATAGGCCCGTTCGAAAGTATCTAAATTGCCGTGAGCGCTATCAGATAAGATACAGAAAGTAACAAAGTCTGATCACATGCCGGCCGATTAGTCCCAAATTCTTACAAAGCCTCTATGAATAATGGTATTTGCAAGCAGGACAATTAAAGCCTTTATGAGTCACGACCGGACGGGGAAATCTATTTACACATAAACAAATATTTATGGCCAGGGGCTAATCTAATACCCACTCACCAAATCGCCACCCACACTCACAGACCCGCCCACGCCAACCACGTTCGTTTACAAAGATCTGCCCTTCGCCGCTCCGGAGCACAGTCTCATCGACCTAACCGCATCCTGTCCGCGCTGCTTGGCCAAGGCTGCATCGCGGCCCAATGGCAGCGAAGGTGAGTGCCATGTGGTGAGCCGGTGGAGCCACAGATCGGTTGTTATGTCCTCGTTTTGCAACTGCCGCTCAGCTCTCTAACCGAATAGAACAGAGCCACCCCGCCAAGTCCTGTCTTCCTGTGCGTCCTCGAGCTTCTTTCTTAATGCATTTTTTTATCGGATAAAGTCTTCAACAGACCTGATCCGTATCTTTCCCTTGTGTTTGTCCCCCAATGACTCGACATTTCACCAAACAGACAATCGAGTTTGGCCCCAGCAAACACTGCTCTTTATTAACCCATGTATATTATGTGTCTTTCTGTTTGTTCTGGCTTCATTCTATGATTTATGTGCGTTCCCATAACACTTGTGTCCACTAACACGTCGTAATCGCCGCGCTCTGTACAATACGTCTCTATCTAACGGATATGTATCTGCTCATTTCAATAATAATATTTCACGCCAAGCCTCTGCAATTCGTTTAGTCGCTGCCATTTCAGCCAATTTAAATGGGCCATTTAAATTTAGCCGCAACATAGGCGAAGACAAGAGTAGATATACACTTAGCTATGTGTCTCAATGGTCTGTGATGGACTTTTTGCCGAGCAACACGTGTGTGTGCTGAGGTCTGATATCTGGACACCCAAATCCAAAAGTCTGGATTGCTGGGACGTTGCAAAAATCGCTGTTGAATTTATTTTCTTTTCTCACTGTAAAAATAAAAAAAGAAAAGGGGGAGTGTTTAACAATTTAATTACCTTGGCATTTACTTATTTTGCTTATGCAGACAGTAAAACTCAGTTAAAAGTTATATAGATTGAGGGAGACATCAAAATGTTCAATTTAATATTACTTTATGTCTTTCAGATACACATTTTCTGTAATTTTATGTACCCATTCATTGCTATGTCTTATATTTTTATTGTCATATGCTTGAAAAATGTTTTTATTTTAAGATCCCTTTAGGTCAGTTTGTGACGTCTAGAATGCTTATAGTGGCTTACAGAGTTTAATTTACATCAAAATACATTTCTTTAGCTTACATAAATTGTTTTTCTAATGAGATCCGATCTGTAGTATCCTAAATTTGCACAGCATGTTCAAAACAATACTCACTGTATGTGGCAAATAGACTTTCGGCGATTGTTGGCCAGTCAGTCAGCCATGGCCACATGGCAATTTCCCAGCAGAGAGCCATTTTCGTTTTCATTTCGGCATTATTTATTTCTGTGGGGGTGACCGAGCTTAGTATTCGCTCTATATGCTGGTCTTCTGACTGACTAATTAAATGTGTGTATTATAGGCGAAGAATGTGAAATGTTTCACCGCATCACGTGTGTGCTGACGCGAGTTCGACATCCGCTTCCCACCCAAACCGCACCCCCTTTTGCGACGCCCCTGCCCACGCCCCTAAGCGCCTGACAATCGAACCCCCCAGACTTTTGTTTACTCTCTCTTCGCAGTTGGACGCTAAATGCGCTCCATTCAATTATTTTCATAGTGTTGCGATTTATACAGTTTGGGTCAGAAATATGGATCAATTTTATTTACATTCAAATTGATCGGACTCTTTCTAAGGTGTAATGTTTTTGCTGTGAAAAAAAGCAATGAAAATTGTTTAAATTTATCTAATACTTGGTATGCAAGGAATTAAATATACTCAATATTTGTTAAATTATAATTTTTCAAATTTATGCATGCAATTTCACAATGAATATTCTATCACATGTTTAAAAATGGCTTTTTAAAAAATATATATTCTTAAATCTATCATAATCCTGTTAAAAGAACATATATTTCAACCTCAAGCGTACATACTTATATACCCAAGAATGTGTGATAGCTGTACAAATACATATGTGTAGGAACATTTGATAGATACTATATTAGATAGGGGGCGGGGCCAAGGGGCGGGTTGTCGCAAGTCTTGCCAAGAATTCTCGTTTGAACTCGTTATCGCTCACTGTCTGTCACTCGCTTGGGTTGGTGGACCTCTCTGCTCGATTGATTTCCCGAAATTGATTGCTAAACGATTTTGTTTTCGCCTGTTGATTTGCTACCCCCTGGTACACGCCCTTCATTTTGCTTTTTTCTAAATACCTATCCAACTTCTTCATTAGGCAAATCGCTTCTCTGGCATTATGTAAATTAACTTGGCTAATTATTTATGTATGTTAATGTACGTGGCTAAAGAACCTCCTAATCTGCATAGGCTTATGTTATCTCGAGAGTCCATTAAAGGTTGGCTGGGCAATCACACACAATCAAAATCAACACACATGCCCGCTTTAAAACAATCATCCAGATATTTAGTACACAAGAAAAATAATTTGGTCTTAAAATTTTTTAAAGAGAGAATTGTAACTTCTTTATTGAATACCAAAATATAAGGATAGTTCAAAAGATCTTATAATATCAGCTTTAATATATGATATTTAGGCTGTAGGAAAGGATAGCATTTAGGTTTTTTTTGGTGTTAGATTAGGATTTGTTTTGTTTGCCTTATCAGGGGTAAGGGTGCTATAAACCTATATTTTTGCTGTGTATAGATTTCCATTCCCCGATGCGCAATAGCTGGTGAAATTTCAAATACGCGTTCCCTGGGGGCTTACATACATCTTGAGGCATTTTTCGTTATTTTCTCTTGCATCATCGCTGCTAATTGAATTAGAATTGGCAGGGCAACAGAAAAGACTCAGAACAAAGAGCATGCAAAAAGACAGTAAACAATGGCGAAAGGCGTCCCGCAAATTGATCGATTTCACCTGTCACCCGATGCACTTAGTCAAGTTCAATGCAAGTGCATCGCACATGAACCAATAAAAACAGCAGCAACAACTAATGCGTAAACAAAAGCAGAGAACTTTTTATTTTGCACGCGACCGAAAACCGCAACAAGTGTTGTTGCGTCGCTCCCCCAAAAGCACCTGACATTGCCCCCAAACACCCCTGATTTCATCTACCCCTCGGTTGGTGAATAAATCCACAATGTAACCACAGTGGAACTTCAGTAACTGGAACTGTGATTAGATAGTAGGTTTAACAAAGGGTTTAGTCATAGTAAATGTTGTATAGTTAAAAAGTTTTAGCTTATATCTACTTTAAATAGCTATATATCATTTTTAAAACTTTCTAATCATTAAATCAATTTTTAGTCATGTTAAACCCATATTCAAGACATAACTTAAGGTCTTTGCAAGTTAAAAAACTACAAAAAGTTTTGTTTTAATATATTCAATTAATTTTAAAACTTAAAAAAAAAGTATATAAATTTTATTTTGAAGAAAAAAAGAATATAGTACATTTTTTTTAAAGCTCTTTTTTTAATTATAATAAATAGTTTATCTATGGAATGTTCTAGTTAAAGAATTTCGACTGTGTTAGTTAGAGTGTACTGATGAAATAGCTTATCGCTATAATGAGGACCGGTGACTCCCTGTCTCTGGGGAAAAAACCCCCTCATCGACACTTAAATCAGCTGAGCTTGTGACGCAATCATCGATTACTGTTTATTTACTTTTTTCAACTGCCTTAGATCTCTGACACACAAAGCTTCAGTTCTGTCGGCAAGGCCATTGAATATTTCTCAAAACAACTTCCTAGGAAAAAGAGAAACATTTCTAATTCATTTACAAGTCTAAAATTAAGCACATTTTGTCAAACAAAGGTCTTCCGTCACAACATTTTTTCGGCATAAGTCAGATTTTGCAAACAGTTTTACAGAAAATAATTTAAATTGTCTTAATTTCCATAAATATCTAAAAAAATATTATTTTGTTGAAAAAGTTTAACAGGAAATAAATCCGAATTGTTTAAAGAACTAGTCACCAAATTCTCAATTCTCGATTAAAAAGTTTATAAGGAAACCTTATCTTTTTTAAATGTATTTATGGTCGTAAATAGAAAGTACTATGTTATTGTTAAACATTGAGCTAAAGATTACTAAAAAAAAACCCAGAATTCGCGTTGACTTAAACTGCTTTTGACCGGTTTATAAATTAGTATCACCATTGAGATTTAATTGAAAGTGAGGGAGCAAAATACAATACAATGCATGTGTTCCGACCCGTCATTCAGACAGTAACATCTGGAGGAGACGAATAATGCTGGGTACTCTTTAACCTACAGCTGATTAGAAACTGTTTACTTGGGAAAAAAGTACTATTCACATCAGTTGACAACAAGTTGACTGAACTTTTGATTTCGATTTGTGATCTTGCCTCCCCATTCCTATTCCATCGACTCACATTCAAATTCAGATTAGGTTTCATCGCTTCAACTTGGCATCGCTGAACTCAGATACTGGATACTGGCCATCGTACATCGTCCATCAAGCACTGTCATCACACTTGAATCAGAATCAGATCCGCCCAGTCAATTAATTCTCTTACAATTCGATGCCACAGTGTTATATTTCCTTCGATTCGAATTTGCTTGCAATTGTATTTCGATTTCTATTTGTTTCGATTGTAAATAAACGGCGAGAGTCCAAAGAGTAACGTCTCCTTTTCCCCTTCCTCCTTCTCCGTGCAGCCTACAAGTTCCAGGAGAATCTGATCCGCACCATGGTGCAAATTGAGAACACCTACTTTGAGCTCGGCAACTCGAGCACCCGCAACTGTCTGATAATCTGCGATCGCGGCGTTATGGATGCCAGTGCATGTGAGTATCTCATAGTGGAATTGTACCCTTTGATTTTCAAAGAATAACAAACATATTTCCCCTCCAGACATATCAAAGGATAAGTGGGAGAAGATGATGGCGGGCAACAAGTGGAACCCAGTGGAAATGCGCGACAATCGCTACAACCAGATCCTTCATCTGGTCTCCGCGGCCAACGGCGCCGAGGACTTCTACTCCACAGAGGTGAGTTGCAGGCCTCTGGTCGGCAGTACCGATTTCACTTGACCAATTCTCTTGTCCGCACAAATAAATCGCCCCGAATACGGTAGAACAGAAAGCGCCACTATCAGGTATCCAAGAATGGCTGCGCTTCTAACTCCCGAAACTTCGAGTAAAATCCACCAATGATCCCTTTTATAGTATTGTAAATATTATGGTTTTATAATTTTGTAAATATTTGTACAACAATATCTCGAATCTTTCATGTTGTATCTATACATTTCATTTAGATCATGATTTTTAAAAGGTAATGAAATATTTAGAAAGGTTAAAAGAAAACCTTATTCGAAAATACTAAATTGTCACACATTGGGCTACAGATTACTTAAAATAAACAGAACTTAATCTTAAAAAAATATAATTTGAATCTTAAACGTTAAAGATTTTTGGTTAATAACATTAAAACATTTTATTGTTTGTGAATCAGGCCATTTAAATGTTTACGTTGTACCTTAGAAACAAAAACCCTTTAAAGCCAAAATTACTTTGATATGTAAATTGTGTAATGTGGCAGCTGTACTTCAAACTATAGCTAGTGGCTTTCTAGAATGGGCTAAGGACTGCGAATTCGAATCCTATATTAACTAATGTTTTTCTTGGTCATTGCAGGACCACGCCTGCCGCTCGGAAGGCGTTGATTTGGCCAGGGAACTGGACTACAAGTCGGCGGCAGCCTGGGTCGGCCATCCCTACTTCGATGTGATCGACAACTCCACCAACTTCGAAGCCAAAATGAACCGCATGATTGAGTCAGTCTGCCAGAAAGTGGGCATCGACATTGGCGATCGTTTGCAGGCCACATCGCGCAAGCTGAAATATTTAGGTGGGCTTTCTGGTGTGACTCAACCAAGCAGGATCCCTTCTAAGATCGCTTTTCCTTGCAGTTGCCCTTCTGCCGCCAGACAGCGAGTTTCCGCCCTTCCAGGACTTTGATGTGGTGCATCATTATCTGCAATCCGCCGGACCCAAGGTGCAGGCTCGCCTTCGCAAGCGCGGGCAGAAAAGCCACTGGAGCTACATCCACACGCAACGTCGTCCCAATGTCCACGGGCAGGCCCGCATCGAGGTGAAGACCCAGCTGACGCATCGCGACTATATGAACCTGCTGGCCCAGCGCGACGATGCCCACTTCACCATCTATAAGAAGCGCCGCTGCTTCCTGATCAACAACCAATATTTCCAGCTGGACATATACAAGGAGCCCGGCCACCCACGGTGCGTTAAATTTAATACTACTTGGTTAAGCCGGTAATAATTGTTTTATTTTCCCTTACAGCTGCAAGGGATTGGTGCTGTTGGAAACGTATTCATCGCTCACAGGCGAAGCCCTGAAGAACTGCATGCCCAAGTTCCTGAATATTGTAAAGGAGGTGACCGGTGATCCGGACTACTCCATGTTTAACCTGTCCCTCAAGGAGGACTGGAGCACCACCAAGAAGTTCTGCCGGTCGGCGACGCACGGTAAGCAGGATCAGCAGCTGCCAGAGCCGCCGAAGCAGTATCACCCCTACGACGAGAACAGCGACTAGGTCATCCGGCCAGGAGTCAACATTATGCATAGCCAAAGAATATAGAACCAAAAGCTTGAACCTTCACTGCTGTACATACCACAAGCCTCTATCTTTCGCAGCTCCTATGCATGCATGCCACTCCGCTCCATTTCACTTCCCTTCCTTTTTCTAAATTTCAAATTTATGGCACTCATTTTGGATCCTCGAATTTTGATTTCCGCCTGACTGTGTGTTTCTCTTTTGATTTTGTAGTTAAGGGCGCCGCTAACGGAGTCTCGAGCACGCCGTTGCTCCTCAATGGTCAGTAGGCTTCTGAACTGTCCCTGAATCTCTTTTGCACACGCAATTACACGGCAGAAGCAAGTTATAAGAAAAACCAATGACCTGGCAACAAAATGTACAAAAAAAAAACTTAAAAACTGAACGTAGGTCCTTCCAAGCTGCCTTGGGAGCTCCACTTAGTGCTCTGATTTATGACCACACGCCCTATAAACCCACACACACACCCCGTTACTTATTTGCGTACTTAGCCCCAGGAGGATGAAGGCACCGCGAACGAGAAGCGTATGTGTCGAGTCTATAGTTTGTAGTGCAACCGCAACCGAAACCGGAGGTCGAGAGCCCCACCCGTACTTAATTTTCTTGTCATGTTTGCTCGTGTTAATTTTGTAAGCCATAACACTAGAAACTGTGTAAATCCATGGATCCGCGATATCATGTGACGTTTTTGTGTCTTTTGGAAAAATTGTGAACCGATAATTTTAACTCTAACTCTAAGCTAAATGAAAATAAGAATACGACTACAAGACCACCAAAACCAGAGTTGAGTTTCCTTATTAGTTGCGTGTTTATTAAGGCCTAAATAAATAGTTGTATTTTGGGTTGAGACTAGTGGACCTTGGTCTTGTTGATGCGCTTAATGAGGGTGTCCACAGCACGGTGGATGCGGAGCACCAGAAGATAGCCCACAATCAGGGCGGGCAGGCTGACGAAAGTAGCGAGGGCCTCGTAGATGAATCGCGGCGCAAAGATCTTCCACACCATCAGGTGACGGCAATGAATGGTGCAAGCCATCATGGCACAGAAAATCTAAAATGCATTAATTAGTTAGTAATTCGTTTAGGGATATAACGGGTGCAGTCGCTCACCTTGAGTCCCTGAAGCATGAAGAACTGGTTGGCCAGCTTGAATCCAGCTCCCAGGAAAACATCCTCGTACTCGTACAAAGTCAGTTCGCCCCTTGTCATGTCAAAGCCAACCGCCTCATTGGCCAAATCCGTCAGAGAAGTGGTCGCATCCGCTTTGCCACCACTCTTGCAGCTTCGGATGAGGTTGGGAAACAGTGCGAACAAGGAAAATGTCTCCGTATTCAGCAGAGAATACATGCAGAAGAAGAAAATAGGTCCGCAGAAGGTGTTTAGAATGACCAAGGCGCCAGATATAATATTCGACTGTCCAATGCCAGTGGTGCGACCGACAAAGGCCGCACGCCACTCAATCTGCGACAGCGTGGTCTGATGCGAGGTGGCAAAAAAGCAGAAGTGGGCCAGCAGAAACCAGCCAACCAGGGCCGTAAAAGTGGGCTGGACACAGCTCTCTAAGGGGTAAATGTCAGCATTAGTAATAATATCTTAAGATACAAAAATAAATCACTTACCAAAACTACTGGCAGTTCGATAACGCAATATACCGTGCACACTGAGCAGGATAGCTCCCACGGCCACACAAACAACCAAGCCGATGGAAGCACGAGGTTCCAGAAGTACAATCATCACCAAAGCCAGGAAGACGCCAAAGGCAATGACGATGGATGAGTAAACGGTTGCCAGTCCATATACTACCGGTATCTGATTTCGCCTCTCGTCGTCATCGCCCTCGTACATGCGCTTCATCTTCCTGAAGATCTCCGGGACAATGCTCTCGCTTCCGTTGATGGTCACAGTATGTGAACTCCTGGGAGGAAGCACAAAGGTCATCAGCGGAGCCCAGGAAACTACTATGATTTGCAACAACAGCAGACCGTAGATAACCAGAGCCATGGCATCGATGTGCGTGCGCTGGATGTTCTTGATGGAGCTGTTGGCGAGCAACACGTGGCCGCCGGCGCAGATTGAGGCCACTGTAGGTCCATAGCGAGCCAGCAATACGTTCGGCGAGTTACCAGTTAGATTTCCGCAGGATCTCAGGTACAATCGTGTCAGGGTGGTGTACACTACGAGTACCACGACGGCAAGGATGTAGGTCTTGCCTGTTCCTGGCTTCTTGATCGAGAATCCCGCTCCGCCGCTGTTGGCAAAGTCCAAACAATTGCCTTGCTCCTCGCGACACCGGAACAGTGTGTAGGCAAAGCGTATTAAGCATATAGCCAAGAAGCTGGCCAGGATCAGTCTCAAGGCTGTGGAGCGCAGGAACTGGGAGGCCTTGAACTTCGTCCTGAAATCTAAGCGAGCACTTAACCGCAGGAGTTCGTAAGAGAGCAGGAAAATGGATGCCGCCAAAAGATAGGACAAGATCTTGGCTTCCTGAATGACGAAGCTATTCGAGAAGAACACACCCATGGATGCGAAGAGCAACAGCCGCGTGGGCATGTGTCCGAACCTCTTCACCGCCGCCCAGTTGGTGGCAATGTTGGTCCAGTGGCGCAGCGTGTGGAAAACCAAGATTACAGCACTGGACAAGGCCGTGAAGAAGATCACTCCATGCTCTTCCGTCTTGAAGGAGAATGTCTTAAAGTAGCGGTATCCAAAGACTCCAGCGGCCAAGTTGATGAGGTATGTGTAGAATACTTCCTTGGCTTTAAAAATGTGCGCATAGTCCGCCGGATGCGAGTTGTTCACCAGCAGGAAGATAAAGAACAAGGGCAGGAAGGTGAAGAGCAGACCGTGCGACATCTGCGTGGGATCGAATCTAACCCAGATCTCACGGCAGGTGCCCAGGATATCTCGCAGATTCGTATTCAAGTCTCTTACAAAGGACTTGTAGGCAACCTCGTTGTAAACAGTTTGCACTCGGTGGGTGAGCAGTATAAACTCGGTCTCCAGTTGGTCCATCTGGTCCACATTAAAGGTGCGCTTGTTCTCCAAAGCGTACTGGAAGAAGTACCGATAGATCTGCTGGGCATTCTGCCAGGAATGCAGCAGAAGTGTTTGGAACTTCTTCAAGTACGGCACTTGCAGATCGGGCACAATGTTAAAGTTGACCAGACCCAGATTGGAGTAGGGTATTGGGACGCCAAGTATGGTCGCTAGGGTGGGTACCAGATCAATCTGGAAAACAAATATCGTTGCTTATCACCGTGACGTGCCGAGATTACCGCTTGTCTTATCTCACCTGCTGCAGCATTTCGCTATCTGAGCCCGAATCATTGCCATAAAATCTGTGCTGCTTGGAGTAGGCAAACAGCAGGGCATTGGTTTCGTCATCGGTGTCGCCGCCATGGTCGCCGGATGCCGTCATTCCATGGTCGCCCATCACCAATAGGGTGGTGTCGTTGTCCATTGCAGCCACCACGGTTCTAAATGTTTAATAGATTTAACACTTGAATGTAAAAATATATACAAATACTACCTACCTTATCATCTCATTCATCTCTCCCAACTTGCGCGCCATTTCCTCGTGCATGGGACCGTGCTTGTGTCCGCAGTGATCCACGCCCAGGAAGTGGGCCACCAGCACCTGCCAATCATCGCTGGCTAGCTCCTTGGGCAGATGCTTCAGTATTTGATTGTCCACGCTGTCCAGATCGAATATGTCGAAGCTGGGATAGGAGTAGGATCGCTTGAAGCGTCTTGGGTACAGATCTGTCCAGGTGCTATCGCCTAGGAAGACCAGGGGCAGATCGCTCTTGACTATCTGATCGATGACATTGTCCTCGTTGATCTCCGGCGAGGCGAAGTTCGAGCCAATATCTATGAAGGTGGGCAGACTTCCGGTGGTCAATCCTTTGAGGCGTTGCAACGTGGTGGTCGGCGGATCCGCCCGGAATCTCATGAGGCGGGCGTGGTCAGGACTCTGCTGCAACAGCTCCTGCAGCACCACCAGTTTGTTTTCGTAGGGCAGGGGATCAGTAACGTTCTCCTTGTACAGGCCGAACTCGTATTTCAGGGCATCCACAACCAGGACAATGACCTTTGACTTTTGCGGAAGACACAGATTGGAGGAGGCGTTGACATCTTTAAAGATCTCATTCACAACCTCGTCGGTGAGCACGTACTCCTGTTTGAGGACAAAGGATTAAGGATGTGTGTGTTTCCTCCTGGTTTCCAACTTACTGCATTGGGATTCGTAGACAATCGGCGGCAGGTGCTCGTCTCCGTTTTGGAGACCCGGGCCAATAGGAATCCCCGCGAGAAAAGCAGCACTCCGCTGCTAATTAGGAAGGCCAGCCAAATGAGCACAAACACATACGTCAAGTTCATCTTTCGGCTGTAATTAATTAACTAACTAGGCACACAAATGCTTTCGCTTTATGAGTAATAAACTTTTCGGCATTTAGAACAATGCTGCTGGAGGCGAAAGGCTGCTACGGCTCGCCAGCTGGTTTCCGCTGTATAAAACTATGTAATTTAATTGCACTTTTTTTCGGAGTCGTTTGTTAAGTCTCCGGCATCACGTTGCGTCCTATTTGATTGCTGTTTTCATTTAAAATTCGTCATTTTCAAAGATTTTCTTGTGGGCCGAAGAAAAAATCCGAGGAATATGTAAAGACGTTGCCACCCCGTCAAATCAAACAGCTGCTGCACACTCAGCCCTGGATTTTGGAAGAGTTGCCAAGCTTATGGAGCTTAGTGGCGCGATTTTCAAAAATCTGATGGTCATGGTGTTTCTACATCGGAAAATCGCTTAACTTGCGTTTGAAATTTATATTAGAATTTAGAGTACACATTACATTACAGTACATTGTACATAAGCAATGACAATAAAAGTTTTAAACTCTTTAAAGTAGACAACTGATGTATTGAATTCAAATGTATCATTTATAATAAAACACCACTAGCTTTTTTATGGGGCAAAAAATTTTGCATTTATTCAAAGATTCCATACACATATAGCAAATCAGCATTAGCAACAAATCGGGTGCGATCTTCCTCTCTCTTTAGCAGTAAGGGTTCAACCCTCTTAAAATTACCAATGGATTTTTATTATTTTGCACGCAAGCTCTGATCGTAATTCAAATATATAAGTAGTTCTAAATAATTTTGGAATTGGCTTTTTAATCAGGATCGGGAACGCCATCTAACCAAGGAACTGAACGCCTAGAGAAGAAATAAAAGTGTAAAACAATTGTATATATACTTTAACTGCAATGCTTGTTCCGCCAAAGTTTTTACAAAATATTGGAAACATTTGGGAATGACAACTTGTGGATACCCAACAAAATGGTTTAGTCTCTAAATTTACAATTAGATCGATAGTTATTTAAATGAATGCAGCAAGCCCTCCGATCTACGCTCCTCATCGGCTTAAAGTTTAAAATAATCATGCAGTTCGATGGTGTCTCACAGGCAAATACAAATAGATGCATATAATATGTGCTCCCTTTGGCCAAATATGACGCACAAGTTTTAGTTAATTCAAGTTATATATACCGTAACGACTACACACGCATATGATCTGTGGGTAATTAAATTCTGATCCTGTTGTTAGTGCGCAGACACGACAATTCGCATTAGTTTAATAAGTTATTAGAGTGGGTGCGTGGGTCTGTTTGTGTGTAGTATAGGTTCCTCCACTATATCGACGCGCTTAGCTTAGCTTCGGAGTTGTCCCGAAATCTATTTAGTAAGTGAGTCTGTGGGTGAATTCAGGCCCGAGGATGTGTTGTTCTCGTCCAAGGCGTCTGGAAAACTGGATACCGAACCCGAGCGGGATGTCACCTTGGTCTACAATGGAACAGAAAACCGAACAGATTGTAGTAGAGGTGCAGCAGCATTTGCGCAGGGAGTATCGTTGTGTAAGCAAGCAAATCAACCGAAGGATCCCAATTCAGAGTGAGTTTAGAGTGGTGAGGTGAGCAAGTGTGGAAGATGTGTGGTTAGTGTCGGGCGGTTAGACGGGAACCAAACAGAATCGCAACAGTATGAGAGATGTATAAAGACAGATATATAATAAAATAGTAGTTACCGCATGAGATTGGCACATAAAATTGTTGTGTTCATAGCTTACTTTAACGTTCTCGTAGGCAGAGCCCACCGAAGCCTCGATAGAACGCATCGACTCGGAGTTTTTCATTTGCGACAGTTTCGACGAAATGCCACTGGTGATGCTGCCAAACACCGAGGCGGTCTTCTCGCCCGTGGACTTGAGCACAGACTCCGTGCGTTGGTATCTGGGGAAGAAGGCAAACAATTCCAGCATTATTTACTCATCTAGGCAGATATCTTCGTACAAACAGTGGGCAAACAACAAATGTGCTTTAGTTACAAACAGGCGAGAGTAGGTTATTGTGTTAGGGAAAGTGGCGTGAAACACGACGTTAGTCCAGGGACTCCGGGAGTCCCCAATAAAGGCATCCTCAACCCAATTACTTACAGGGGTGCCTCGTGCACGGCTTTAGTAAACGTGCCCACGCTCTGCTCCACCGATTGGTAACTAAATAAATACATGTATCAGCGTTTTAACATGATTTCGAAACAAAAAGCATGGTTAGAAATTAAAACTGTCTAGTAGGGTTAATGGCCCTGCAGAATTACGTCCGGTGTTTAAACTTACACAGTGCTCTCTTTAAGGTTCTTGATGCCCTGGTTCATGTCGTCCGTCACCTCCTTCCAGACGGTAATGCCCAGCTTGCGCTTGAGATCGGAGGCATGGCGCGTCTTCGAGGCGAGGACGGTGCGCAGCGTGTTGATCTCCTCCTCAACGCGGGCCAGTTCCTGGAAGAAAATACGGTTATAAGTAACATTAAAAGGGAACTTTCACTTGCTTTGGGTAGATAGGAATATCATTTATATAATAATATCATTTCATTTTAGTTGGTTTTAAAGTTCACCTAGTCATGTTTTATAAATAAATATTCTTACCTGAGTCCAATCAGCCCGACGCTGCTCCTTCTCCTCCACGGAAAGCGCAGCGAACTCGGCGGCAATTTCTGCGGATGCCACAGAAGCTGCTGGAGATGCTGGGTCCGACAGATTGGCTGTATTATCTGGGCACGAAAGGAGAAATCATTAAATATCTGTTTCTAATAACAAATCGAAAATCGTGTGCGGTGGAGGGGCTGTAGCATAATTTTAATGTTGTCTGCGGGCAGTGATTATGTACCTCCTTTGAAAGCAACTTCCTCAAAGACTTTGTCATAGGCTGAGTACACCGAATTCGGTTTGTTTATGTGCAATTTGCAAAGACATGAGTTGGTTAATTGGTTAGTTCTGGGTTTTTGTTAATACTCACAAACTGTCGAGGCGAAAGGCAGCCAAAAAAGGGAGAGACAGAGAGGTTAGTCGGGTTAGTCATGGTTGAAAGTGGAAGGGGGAGTGTGTGAAAGACCCAGAACAAAGCCCCTGACCCCAAACCCCAAATATCGTGGTACCTCTACTTCTATGCCCAATGTTGAGAAATCTCTTGTAGTTATCACTGTTCGATATTTTGGCCAGATATGGCTTGGAGAAGTCTATGAACGTGACTTTAACGTCACGCATGCTTCGCTTGGTGAAGAACTTTAGCCGGAAGCGTTTGGCCATCGAGGAAGAGGGTGCCTGGTTGGCCAACTTGGCGCCAATGAACTCCGCCTCCACTGCCTGCAGTTCCAGGCTGTTGGAGTAGTCTGAATCCACATCGTAGAAGATCTGGTCCAGAGTCAGGTTACGCAGATAAAAATCAGCTTCGCTCTCCTCCTGCCCGTCTCCATACCAGTCCAAGACGGCTTCGCTAGCTTCCAGATCCAGGGATGGTGTGCTGGTGAGATCATCGATGCCTGGCAGATAGGAGTCTTCAATGAACTCCAGGCTATTGGGTTCCGATTCGCTCATTCTGTGGCATTAGCGGCGGTCGCTTTCATCTTTGGCAGCAACTTTCTATTTTGAACGTGGCAGCTGGCGCAGGAGGAGCATGTGGTCCCTCAGCCCAATCCTAAGCAGGTATCACGTTTCCACGGTCAGCTCTGAGCACATTTTCTTGGCCCTGCTTTTAGCCACTTTGGTGGTTACTTGCTGAGCTTTCAGTTCTTGCCCCTCCGAGATCCACATAAATGCCCCTCCCCATGCGATCGCAGCTGGTTTTTCGTTTTTAGTCTTTCGGTTTCGGTTTCGTTTTCGGTTCTGGGCCTGCTTCCACGCTCTCCTACAGCTAAAAGCCAACTGACTCGATCTCGGCTTAGAAATGGGTAGATGTGGATTGCTTGGCTCTTTGGCTCCGCTTGCTGATGATTCGTGTCAGCACGAAAGACGAGAAACGCCACTAAAAGAGCGCAAAACAAAAGGGGCAACAGCAGCAGAAACTACCACGACTACAGTGAAGATCGCTTAAAGGCCTCATTTACTAAGAAAGGCTTTAAACATATTTTAATCGCTTATTTGCCCTTAAACTACATTACAAATCATGTACAAGAAATTGTACATTCTCTTGACTACAGGCATATTATTCCTTTTACTGAAGATGTACTTTAATAAAATTTGTGTGTTTCTGAATAAATTGATTAGATTAGATGATTAATATCCAATTAATGGCAGCCAATTATAATTTTATCAAGCCAATGGTTTTGATAAGCACTGACGTTAGAAATCAACATCTGGCTCCAATATTCTCCGAAATAATTGTAAAAAACATGTACGAAAAATATTTACTTCCTGTTACTCATTTTAAAAAAATTTTAAGCTCAGGCTTATCGTTTCTTATATTTTATATTTTTTATAAAAATACTCAGAATAAAGAAAAATAAAAGCATCCAAAATGTATTATTCAATCTTGTTAAGATTCTTTCTGATGGTGCAAAATTTTCTAAATATTTATGGTACAGTTCACAAGCATACAAGAACTTAGGAACTTTTACTATTTGTTTTTCCAATGCCTACTGTACATGGTTTGACTGAGATGGTTTGTTTAGGCAAAAAAGATAATAGAGACTTTAAAATTGTAGCTTGTTGTTACATACTAATTACCAGTTTATATTTTTGTTCCCCAATTTTTACAGTTTTACCTGACTATCATAATTTTTTTTTAATACAAAGCACTACATTTTTTAGGAATCAACGACATTTATCTGAACATGGATTACTTATTAAGCTCAATAGTAATTACCACTTAGGGTAATTATTTTCCGAATTCTTCCAGTTTCCTCCGACCATTATCCACTGTACGAACACAAAGCAACTGTGCCACATTGATAGGGCCTATATGTATGTGAGTTGGGTCGGGTTTTACTCAAGTTGTGGCTGTTTATAATTTGCTGTTGTTGTGGCAGGCTCAATCCAATCGAAAACTCAACAAGTGGAAGCAATGGCCAATTATCGAGTGGTTCGGCATGGGAATGGAGTTCCGAGCAATTAATGCCGCAATATGGAGATAAATCCCGGTTGGAGGAGGCGTTTCCACATGATATAAATACCATCGCCTCCCTTCGGATGTTGCGCTTTTTGCAGCCACGTATGCATCGGCGTGCGAATAGAATGCAATGTTTACACCAGTGTCCCAAATGCCACAATCCACCTCACACCATCTTCTAAAATATATTTACGTCCACGACATGTCGAACGACTCCCACGAGTTTCCGAGCGGTTGGAAAGCCTTTCACCCTACGCAAATCGGAGACATGACTCATCCGCCGATTTCAGAGGTCCCAAGGTTAACGCATTGTTTATTCTAGCCGCCCGACTATTTGCAAAGCCGCTGAATCAGCGCGTCCTACGATAATAATCCCTAATTGCCCCCAAAAAGGTATAAGGTGTTCCAATCACCAGGTCACAAGAACAAGAGCCCCACAAAACATGTGCAGCGGCATGCAAATTGCCCGGATGCACTGGCTCCGTTTGCCACACACTTACGGTCCTCCATTACGGCGATGTCTCCTGAAGTCTGCAGCTATTTTGTTAACTATTTCACAGCGAACTGCAAGCACTTTTCTCTAAAATTGTAAGTTGAAAATAATTTTTGTTTTCCCTGTCAAGCTATCGATGTCAGCTTTGCCAAGTCGTAGAGATGCCACTATCGATTAAAGCTTTCAACTGAAAGTTCCATCTCTAGTGCAGTTTAGTATGGGAGCTGGCGAAATAAAACTTATGTTACACACGCCCTAAAGCCATACTTTATATTCAGAGCAAATTAAAATATTTACATTTGTAAAATTTAAATATAATCCACCATTCTCATCTTTATCGATAGTTCCACAGCCCTACTTGTTGCCGCTCGGCCACCACTGGCCAGAGCTGCCAGATCGCGCCTTCATTCAAACAGAAAAGTTTCGGTTTAAAACTTTTGTATTTCAAAAGAAATAAGACATACGGTTGTATCTGCTATATCTGGTTTGGAAATTATAGTAAAAAATCGAATCGTGAGTGAAAATATCTCGATTTGCAGCCAGCTATTGCCATTTGGCCTTCGTCTCGTACATTTGATTTTGTCCGTTAATATAGGAAAATATATACATTTTATATCGTTTGTATTCTCTACGTTCTTAGAATTACTAATGCAGTTGTTGTAAATATGTATGTATATTTTTAAAAATTTACAATATCAGGTCTGTTATTCTTGGTGTTATATCATACTTTTTTTTTGAAACAGAAGCAATCCAAATACGAAATAATAGTGAAACAAAAGAAAAACATGGCAAAAAAGATACGATTCGTTTACGGTTTTTATTGGTTTTATATGGTTTTTTCTTTTATTGAATAGTAATAGTAAAAAATTAAAAATTTTTCTCATACTTTGTGTTTCAACTGTCAGATATTGCGCGGTGCAGAATCGAGAAAACTGAAAAACCAACACCCGATACTCGTACAAAGTACTGGAAGAGTTCCATATTTAAAAATCTTTTTTGACAATCCACACCGCGACGCATACGAAGTTAGTTAAGTGGAAAACATAAGTCGAAAACAATTTAATATAAATCAAGGGGATTGCACAAAATTAAAATGTTGGTTCTCATTTTGAAATGTGAATAGGGTTGGTGTGTGGTGTGTTTTGGGTTCGGTATCATGGCTGTGTAGGGTACAACTCTGGAGTAGGTTTTTGGGAGCAGGAGCAGACGTGCGGAAAAGATAGTTAATTAATGTATAAGTAAGGTGTATATTTGCTGTTCAAATAAATCGACATCTCCACTTCCACTCTAGCCCCGCAACGTAAGAAACGTTTTTACAATACAATCAACGTTCATTTAACATTTACTTTCGCATAAATCATAATAATCACTTAATTGGAAAGGGGAAGGGGGAAATGGAAATTCCGAAAACGAAAAATCTGAGTATGGTATAATCAAAACGGGGGCTATAGAAGGTAGATGTAAATAATTAACATTTTATGCTTACAATTACTTTCGTTCTTGAACGTTTTTCGCTAGTCAGTTTCAATTCAATTAACAAACCATTTGCTGAACTTTCTGCTTACTTTTAGGGAGCTTCAACTAATTAGAATATTATGTGTTGCAATGAAGAATGGTTATATAAAAAGAAATTGGCAATTAAGTGTTGTATGTATAAAGTGGCCGGGGTTTAGCCAACACATCGGGGAACGGAACTGGGGGCGTGAGTCAGTTGTCTGATTCGATTCTCGTATTCTATATGTTGTATAAATGCAATTTCATGTGTGAGTGTCGTTGTGTGTAGGGGGTTTGGTTTTTGTGTGTTTGATTGATCCTGTATCAAATCATACAAAAATAGTTGCTTGTTTTGTCATTCTCGTTTTCAATTAACCTGCACAAATTGCGTTGTAGAAAAGCTCCTGGGAGACAACCTATACCGTTATTTTTGACACTAGTTTTCGACTAAAGAGATGTCCGCACGACTGCCGCTGCTCTGTTGCTCTGCCGCTCACTGCCCGATAATCCAGTTCCAGCTTCTGGTCCATCTCCAGATCCGATCCCCGGCGCACCCCGACGTGTAGTATTGCTGCTACTGCTGGCGATCGGGACACTCGGCCCGACGCACTTAGTTTTTGGGGCCCCACACGGAAGTGATGGGCGTGGTGGCCACCGGAGCCCCGCCAGCAGCGAAATGCGGGAAGTCCTCCTGCGACTGAGTGTTGGGCGCAGTCAGGTTCTTGGCCTGCTTCTGCTTCTCCCACGGCGCGTCCTTGATGACGAAGCCGTTCTCGCTGGCACCTCCAGCGCCGGATCCAGATCCCGATCCAGAAAGGAAGGCACCGACCGTCTGGGGCTGCGGCGATGACGGCAAGTTCTCCAAGTAGTCACGCTCGTAGTCCTCGGCCATGCCCAGCAGCACCTCCTTGGCATTCTCAACGTCCTCCTCCTTGCCAATGATGGTCACGGCATTGGGGTTGCTTTGAGCTTCGTCGGAAGATGGGAACTTGATGTCCACCTGGTTGAAAAAGAATATTTGTTAAAAATAAATTTGTAATAAAACAAGAATCTTTAAAAATCTTTGAGTTTAAACTTATTTTCAGTTTAAAACTTCCTGGAAACACACCTTGTAATCCTCGATGACCTTGCGAATGGTGCGTCCGCGATGGCCAATGATGTGGGAGTGAATGCGTGTATCGATTTCGATAACCTCGCGATGGAGGGTCTGGAGGTCGCCAACAATCTCCAGGATGGCATCGCGCGCTGCCTCCGTCTTGGCCTGGTAGCCGGTGATGGAGATGATGCGCTGATTGGGATCGTCCCGCTTGGGCAACGAAATGTTGACGTCGTGATCGGCACGCAGCTTGTTAATCACAGCGCCATGGCGACCAATGAGCTTCGAGTGGTACTCCGTATCCACGTCCACCTGGAGAACGAAAGAGCGCAGCTCACGATCGGCCCGATCGGCCTCATAATCCTCGATCATCTTCTCCAGCGCCTCGCGGGCCTCGGCCACGCGGGCGGGCGTGCCAGAGACCTTGATCACATCCGACTTCAGCTCGCTTGGGGGCAGCTCCACGTGCACATCGTGCTTGGACATGAACTGGCGCACATTGGCACCGCGCGGTCCGATGATGGTACGGTGAAGGTCGAAAGGCACCGACAGCTCCTCCTCGATGGGGATGAGATCGAGCAGAGCCTGCTTAGCGGCTTCGCACTTCTCAATCCTGCCCGTGATGCGAATAACATCGCACTGACGCACAGGCTCCACTGACTCCGACTCCTGCTCGCCGTCCTGTCCCTCCTCGCCTCCGTTCTCGCCGCTACCGCCGTTGGTCAGACCCTCTACGGGCTCGGTGGCATCACGATCGGGGAACTTGATCTGCACATCGAACTCGGAGGTCACTTGCTGA